CCTACGCGTCTTTCGATTAGCTGGCGTGTTGACAGACCCCATACGTGGCCGGGTGCGTCCCGACGTATGAGGGGAGATATGATTATGTGAGGGCTGGTGAGAATGTAGCCAGGCCCAGTGTGAGGTCGCACGCGTCTTTGGATTAGCCGGCGTGTTGACAGGCCCCATACGAGGCCGGGTGCGTCCCGTCGTGTGAAGGGTGATATTATGATTGTGCTTGGTGGGTTGTGATGGATAAATATTAGAATATATGAATTTGTATGGCTGTAATGGTTTATTTGATATTAGAAGCCAGGATAGATACGAAAGAGCTACGTGTGGCTTGATCCCTTAGTAGGGTACGTAGGCAGCCTGAAGTTACTAGGGGCAGCCACAGCTAGACCCCACTTAGGGCTTATTGAGATTGGTTCGGACCTTGTTGTTGGTCCTGGAGACTGAGTGAGTGAAGGTGTGCATAAATAGATTTTGAATTTGTTATATGCATGTTTGATGCATTAAGTTATTTTAAAACTTTGTGGGCAGTTCTGCTAGAATTATTTGAAGGTCGGAGGCCCTTTATGTAATTGCATGAGATTATATTGTGCATGTTGTCGGTTGGGTTATAAAATGCGTTTTATGCAGGTGGGAATTTTGGGGAAATGTTCAATTTACAGGGGAGACTCTGCCGAAATTTCGGCAGAAAGTCTCGTGCCCTTAATCCTCTATGGGCGGATCTTAAGTTTGTGTATAAGGGGTCGTATCTTGGAGTCTTGTAGACCATCAGTACCTGCACGTATGGAGGCTACAAAAGCTTTAGGACAACGTCTTTGACGTGCTTCACCATATCAAACTCACCTTCTTACCTATTACTTATTTTCCTTTTATTTCCCTATTATTTTGTTTTCTACAATTTCATTATACCTTCAAAGCTTTTCAATTTGTTTATATGTTATTTATAATATAAATATTTTGTATTTGGCTTTACGGAAAGAGGAAAACTATTATTTTTTACAACAATCTAAAGCCTTTGTATGTTAAAGTTGTTTTCTTCCCGTATTGCTAGCTTTAATATCTTTTAACTCTTTGACTGAAGCTTTTGCATTCGTATTGGATTTTCAAAATGAAAATTACGATTTATTTTGGGTAGATTCAGTTTGAAGCTTTCATGTTGTCTATACAATTTCAACTGCTTTAAATATTGTTGGTACTTTTATATGTTTATAATTTGTTGCTAACGTTTGGGAAATTACTGCTAGTGTTCGAAAATAAAAACCTCCAGACTAATTTATTTGTATTATTATAGTTCAAAGTATTATTATTTTATGTGGTGTGTCTGTTTTTAAAATACATTTCAGAATCTTAATAATGTTAATAGCATTCAAAAGCTCATTAATGACCATTGAAATATTTTTTATATATTTAAAATATTGAAGTTCTAAGTTACTGTTTGTTTTAAATAGCTTGTATTGTTTAATTTCTGATTACTTAATTATTACTCATTAATCAATTTACGATGAAACATCCACTGTTGAAGTGTTTGATTTTAACATTTGCCTTGATTCATTTTGGTTGCCATCAATCTTCCTTTACTTTTGGAAATCCTTCATATCAACGTGAGAAGCAATTATAATATATTCTTGGCCGTAAAGTTTATTGTTTGCAATTTTTTTTTTAATGTTGGGTTTCTATACATTATCTTTATAGTTTTTTTTGTGTCAGTTTTAGTTCTGACCTATCTGTGTTTTCAATTTTATATTGATTCTTTATTTTCATTTATAGATATCAATTTTTGCGAGTTTATGTGATATTATTGCAACTTTTATTGAGCTTAATTATTCTTTATTTTGCTGGCTGTCATTGCATTGCACATTCAATTTATGCAGCTTTAGTTTCAAAACTTTAATGTCAATTTCATGACATTTAGAGCTTTTATTTTGGCAGTAAAATTGTTAGGTGATTATGTTCTGAACATTTATGCAATTTTAATTTTTACATTTATGGAGAAATTAATTTTGACTATCTATTTTGTGCATATGCATATATTTTTTTTTAAAAAAATTTCATTACTCCCATATAATATATTTTTGACTATCTATTTTGTGCTTACGTTATTTGCGTTTTGATAATTATTAATATTTTTATTTTAAAACGTGTGGACCAATTTGTGGAAGTTGAATTTTCTTAAATGGGAACTTTAATACTGTAATTTCATTTGTTACTAACATTAAGCAATTTTGCTGAAAAATATTAGATTCATTTATGTTCGATTTTCCTTCTCTCTTTCCCATAATTTTTTGTGTGTTTTTAATTTCTTTATGCTCTCATGGGAAAGATTCATTTAGTGACATAATACTTTTTATATTTTATTGGCAAACATACTATGTCTATATGAAATTTGTTTCATTATGCAAGTTTATTATGAGACTAATTTATCTTCAATTTGATACGAAAATATTTGCAACTAATGATGATTTTGGCATAAAATTTTGGTAGAGACTTCTTATTGTCTTATAGATTCATATTGAGAATCGACAAGATACAATTTCAACTTGGATATGTGATCACGATTTCAGCCATTTGGAGTGCACAAAAGGGAGTAAGGGTATCCTGAAATACTCAGTGCTTATAAATAAATTTATTTAATGAATTAATTGCTATATTGTTGTTCATAAGTGGTATCAGGTGTACTCAAAGTTTCATGGACTTGAGAGGTACTCTTGATCAAAAGATTTAATGTATGATGTATTTCCATTATACTTAACTGTATACCAATGCGTATTTAATTTCCAATTATACTGAGGTGAAATCTACTAATTATTTGTGTGCAAGATTGTGTAGGAAATATTTTAATAACATGCAGGTTTAAAGCGCGCAAAAATGGAGAACAAAGACATGACCTACATTATATATGCCTTGTGAAGGCTAGT